ACAGTAGTCAAAACAGCCTGGTACTGGTACAATGACAGATACATTGACCAATGGAACAGAATTGAGAACCCAGATGTAAATCCATCCACCTACCATCACCTGGTCTTCAACAAGGTTCCAAAGTCCATCAAATGGGGAACAGACAGTCTTTTTAACAAATAGTGCTGGCAGAACTGGATGTCCATCTGCAAAAAAAATGAAACAGGACTCATACCTCACACAATATACAAAAACTAATTCAAAATGACCAAAGAGCTAAATATAAAGCCAAAAACTCTAGTTCATAGAAGAAAAAATAGGATCAATGCTAGAGGCCCTAATACATGACATTAACAGGATACAAACTATAACCAAAAACACACAAACTGCAGAAGATATGCTAGGTAACTGGGATCTTCTAAAAATTAAACACTTATGCACATCAAAAAACTTCACCAAAAGACTGAAAAAAGAACCTACAAACTGAGAAAAAAATTTTTGGACATTACAAGTCAGACAAAGGTCTAATCTCTAAAATCTGCAAGAAAATCCAACACCTCTACAACAAAAAGACAAATAATCCTATTAAAAAATGGACAAAAGAAACGAACAGATACTTCACCAAAGAAGACATTCAAGCAGCCAACAGACAGATGAGGAAATGCTGGCGATCACTAAACATTAGAGAAATGCAAATTAAAACCACAATGAGATACCATCTCACCCCTGCATTACTGGCACAAATCAAAAACACTGTAAATAACAAATGTTGGGAGGCTGCGGGGGATCGGAATTCTTATGCACTGCTGGTAGGAATGCAAAATTATAAAACCATTTTGGAAAATGATATGGTGCTTCTTTAGAAAGCTAGAAATAGAAATACCATAGGATCCAGCAATCCCACTCTTAAGAATATATCCTAGAGAAATAAGAGTCGTCACACGAGTAGACATACGCATACCCATGTCCAGTGCAGCATTGTTCACAACAGCAAAAAGATGGAAACAACCTAGATGCCCATCAACAGACAAATGGATAAACAAACTATGGTATATACATACAATGGAGTTTTATGCAACGATAAAGAACAATGATGTATCTGTGACGGATCTCATAAAATGGATGAAACTGCAGGACATTACGCTGAGTGAAATAAGTCAGTCACAAAAGAAGAAATATTGCATGAGACAACTACTGTAAAAACACATGAAAAGGTTTATACACAAAAAGAAATAATCTTTGTTGGTTACGAGGGATGGGAGGGGTGGGGGGGGGATACTAAATAGACAATAGATAAGTGATAACTTTGGTGAAGGATAAGACAGTACACAATACTGGGGAAGCCAGCAAAACTTGTGCAAGGCAAGCTCATGGAAGCTACATAGACACATCCAAACTCCCTTAGGGACCAAATTGCTGGGTGGGGGGTTGTGTCGACCATGGTCTCAGGGAACATCTGGCTCAATTGGCATAACACAGTTTATAAAGAAAATGTTCTACATTCTACCTTGGTGAGTAGTGTCTGAGGTCTTAAAAGCATAGGAGCAGCCATCTAAAAAATTCCACTGTTCTCACCCCTTCGGGAGCAAGAGAGAATGAAGAAAACAAGACACAAGGGATTAGTCCAAAGGACTAATGGACCACAACTACCACGGCCTCCACCAGACTGAGTCCACTACAACTAGACGGTGCCTGTCTACCACAACTAACTGCTCTGACAGTGATCACAACAGAGCATCCCGGATAGAGTTGGTGAAAAAATGTAGAACAAAATTCTAACTCACTAAAAATGACCAGACTTACAAGCCTGACAGACTGGAGAAACCCTGAGAGTATGGCCCCTGGACACTCTTTTAGGTCAGTAATGAAGTCACTCCCTAGGTTCACCCTTCAGCCAAAGATTAGACAACCCCATAAAACAAAACGAGACTAATGGGGCACAACCGTTCAGGGACAAGGACTAGAAGGCAGGAGGGGACAGGAAAGCTGGTAATAGGAAACCCAAGGTTGAGAAGGGACAGTGTGGACATGTCGTGTGGTTGTTAACCATTGTCATAAAACAATATGTGTACTAATTGTTTAATGAGAAACTATTTGTTCTGCAAACTTTCATCTAAAGTACAAATAAAAAAATAATAAAGTACAAAGAAAAAGATGTCACCTTGAAGACTAAGGTGCACCTGACCCAAGCCATGGTATTTTCAATTGCATCATACGCATGCAAAAGCTGGACAATGTATAAGGAAGACCAAAGAAATGATGCCTTTGAATTCTGGTGTTGGCAAGGAATACTGAATATACCATAAACTGCCAAAAGAATGAACAAATCTGTCCTGGAAGAAGTACGACCAGAATGCTCCTTAGTAGCAAGGATGGTGAGACTACGTCTTACATACTTGGGACGTGTCAGGAGGGATGAGTCCCTGGAAAAGGACATCATGCTTGGTAAAGTAGAGGATCAGTGAAAAAGAGGCAGACCCTTAAAGAGATGGATTGACCCAGTGGCTGCAACAATGGGCTAAGGCATAACAATGATTGTGAGCACTGTGCAGGACCAGGCAGTGTTTCTTTCTGTAGCACATAGGGTCACTGTGAGTCAGAACCGACTTGACAGTACCTAACAACAGCAGCAATGGAGAAATTGGAGCCCTGGTGGTAAAGCGGTTAAGAGCTATGGCTGCTAACCAAAAGGTCGGCAGTTCAAATCTATCAGGTGGTCCTTGGAAACCCTAAAGGGCAGTTCTACTTTATCCTGTAGGGTCACTGTGATTTGGAATAGACTTGACTGCAACATTTTTTTTTAAGAAGAAATTATTGAAGTTGTAATATTTTAAGAAAATTAAATCAAACAGTACAACATATGGGCCATACAGGTGGATTGATTTCCCTTTCAACTTCCTCCTCACTCCACATTCCTATACATTTTCTCAGATTTCTACCCTCTGTTTCTTTCCCTTAAAGCATTGGTCCTTATCACTAATTAATCCCTCATAACTAATTAGTCCTTTATGGATTATTTAAATTTTAACACGGGAATTTCTGACTTCATCATAGATTCAAATTCCCATAACTTTCAGAATGACTGAATTTGGGCTGTTTGTGTGTTTGTGATTGGGGTAGAAGAAAACATGGGGAGCGGAGGGAGGAGGTTGGTACTAACTGTGAAAACTAAGGGGATATATGCCTCAACATGACATCATCTAAATCAGATGTTTAACTCCTTTCAAAGAAAAGTATTTATTTATTTTAGTTTTTAATACGGAGCAATTCTAAAAACAGTTTTAATGTGTCACATTAAAATTACGTTTAGTGTATCTTTTTTATATTAATTCTTGCCCAGACATTTTGGTTATATGTATTATTTTCAAAATCACAATCTAGCATAAAAGTCAGAAATCCTTTTTTTTAATGCCATACTAAAAAATACACTAACATGTAAAATGGAATACTTTACAAAGAGACACATACCAAATAACACTCTAAAAAAAAATATTGAATTGGGCATCTTGAGTCTATAATATGCTTCAAAAACCCTATTATACTTCTTTAACATCACAGTCATATCATACTGAATTTATTTTGATCTCTTTTCCCATTTCTTCTCTCTTTGTAGGTTTGGCCAGACCTGCCTAATATTACAATAGATGAAAGTCTAACTGAAGATGAAGCTGTTAATGTAAGTTTTACATTGATTAGCTCTATAACAGAAAGAAATTTAGCAATTGGATTTAGCAGTTAATCCCTTTGACTAATAATTCAATTTGACTAATACTTTCCTTAAAAAAATGGAAGGCTTATTTTCTAATATCCTATATCTGAGCATATTTAGATCAAATTTACTTGATTTTTCCTGAATATCAAAATTAGTCACTCTGTTAAGCAATTTTGTGTTTTATTTCTTTTGATCCAAGCAAACATTAATTTAATTATATCACAAAATAATCATTAAATAGAAAAAGAAATGTATGTTCAGAGAGATTAGTAGAACCTACTATATGATGGATGCCTAATTAAATATATGAATTCAATGTGTGGACCACATGTGTGGACCTGGATCTTCCAATCCAAGTAAGTAAGTATAAAAAACCAGAGGATCATACTTGTTTAAAACTAACCAAATCATTTTTAAAATAGACTAAAAGGAATACTGAATGACGTTGTTGAGGAAAAAGGCAGAGTTTTCTCTTGATTTGAGGTCTACACACTACACTTGGGTAGTGGTGGTAGCACTGAAGGGGAATATATGGCCTCTCCATTTAGATGTTGTAGGCATCCTCAATTTACAATGACTTATGTAGTGCAAAGAGTGTTTCATCAACCAGTGATTTGGGTTAAAGGGACAAAAGCAGCCATCTAATGGAATAAAATAAGCAAATGAATAAATTATGGAAAGAACAGAAAAGTAGAAGTGTAAATAAAGTTGGTGTTACCTTTGTTATTAATTCTCCTGTGATCTGGGTGAGATCCTAGCATAGGATCAGTGTAACCACACTAGGCCTCCTTTCCTTATTGAAAACTACCCACTATCATATGTTTTGTAAATCTCTATATTCTCTATTTTCTCTCTGCGCACTGTATCCTGTTTATGAAGGAGATTGTTCTGGAAGTTACTGCATAATAGTAAAGTCTGAAGGAAAGTAGTTAGGTGATGCCAGGATTTTAGCCATTGCCACTTGATTTAGTTGCACAAGATCAGTCCTCTGCTAATGCACAGTGACTCTCACCTTGCAATTTCTATGCACAGACTGGCAAGTAGAGAATTTTCTTGGTTCAGAGAGGAGCATTAAAACACCTCTTCTCTGCTTGGGTGGTGGGTTAGATTTGAGAGAGAAAGAGAAACAGTTTGTGGAGATAGTAGGACATTTTATTGGTTCACTAAGTAGACAAACTTTGATCAAAGAAGCATGCTAAACTATAAGCTTACCCTTCCTCTTCGCCTAATACCCCACAAAGGTAAGCATGCATTGTAGGGCTCTACCAATACAGAGACAAAAACTTTCGTATCTCTTTGTGAAGCACTGAAATTATATCCCTTTGTGCTTTGAAATTCTTTCTTTGTCATCTACCTAGGATCCCAGGTTGCACTATTCTCACTCCATCTGTCTGTATCTTGTCTCTCTGTTTTCTTTTCCACAGAAGCTGGGTGGCTGGAAAAAGATCACATATATTCATGTAATTAAGGCTGTCTTCATCATCACTACTGCACAATCTGTGAATCTGACAGATAATTTTCTGATATAGATCTATATGATCTCTCTTATCACTTTCAATATGTGAGTCTGAATTTTGTTTTTACAGGCTTCCAGAGCACATGCAGCTTTTCCAGATTTCTTCAGGAATTCCACAGCGGAGTGGTGGGCAACAGAAATTATAGATTTCTACAATAACCAGATGAAATTTGATGGCTTGTGGATTGTAAGTAAGCTCTAAGAAATTTTTCTTTTAAGTTTTTTATTATGTAATGTTTACGCAAAACCCTTACTAGACTATAATAATGTCAACAAAGTATTCTTCATGAAAATTAGCCCACTCTTTTTTCCCATAGAACTTTCTTATGCAAAAGACTGCTGAAATACAGTAACAATTCAATTTATGTATATAGATATTACTTCCTGGACAATTCTAACTTGACCAAGGAACCGAATAGCCTTTTTTTCTAGCTATTCATAAATACTTATAAACATATATTTTATTTCCATTCAATGTAGGAATAAATCCTCACACTCATACAACTGTTTAATCTTTTGTGTAAGAAATCATAATCTCTTACAAATTTAGCAAAGAAATATTTCAAACAATGTCCTTCTTCTAGGGGCAACTTTAAAGTTTGGGCAGTAAGATTCTTGATAAAATAATTTCAAAATAGCATAAAAAGAAGGCTCTTTTCCCCACAAGAAAATATTTAATATAGAATATTTTACATGATATATCTCTAAGTGTTAGAGGTAGCATTTGTTTTTCTGTTGATTTTGTGATATAGAGCCTGGGTGGTGCAAGCGATTTGAGATCAGCTGCTTACAGAAAGGTTGGGTGTTCGAACTCAGCCAGCAACTCCCAGGAAGAAAGGCCTGTGGTTTGCTTTTGTAAAGATTACAGCCAAGAAAGTTCTATGGAGCAGTTCTACTCTGTAACACATGGGGGTGCCATGAGTCAGGGGCTGTCTCGATGGCAGCTAACAACAACATTCATTCATTTATCTGTTAATCGAAGAAACCTCCATTGGCATGCTCCTATGTGCAAGCCTTGAGGATATAAAGGTGAATAAGGCATAGATTTTTAGAATTATTGGTACATATAGGTCTGTTTGATGTACAAGATTACGTACTTTAATGGGTTATACTAAGTATATCCCTGAGAATGATCTCTGGATCCAGAGAAGTGAACCTGTTCCCATTTAGAGGAATTTATATTTAATGGTAGCTAATTTCTGTATTTAAATGTTAGTCCCTTCATATATGGCCACAGAGATCCTGAGACCTGTGCCCCATAGAGCTCTTCTTTGAAGTGTTCTGTATTTGTGGTAACTATATCTTGTGGTTTTAAAAAGAAAAGTAATTGATACCAGTCTCAGGGGCAGGAGTGGAGAGGAAGGAGGTAGTACGGTAGAAATGTATGAAAGTATGCAATATTTTCTCAGATTTACTTATTTCCTTTACTTTTCTTCACGGCTGCATAGGAAAATGTGGTCTAAAATTTATTTCTTTAGAGAGAAAGATTATGAAGAACAAAAAATAAATAAACACATTATGTAACCAATGTAACAAAGAATATAAAGCTTACACCGTTGTAACTTAATTTCATGTTTGGGGAACAAAAACAACTCACTTTTATATGTAAAATTCATACCTCAGAGAAAAATAGGATATTTTACATTTCTCAGAAGGAAGCATTGATGTAAAAAAGTTAAGGAACAATGAACTTAACTAAATTCTTTAGTATCATCAAACGTCCTTATATTTTTGGTTTTTAGAAAAGTGAGTAAACATACTATTATCCGAATATGCTGCCTTAATTTACTGGTTCTTTGAATTTTTTTTTTTTACCTCCAGAATATAGGTTCTGAGTTTGTTTTATGCTTATCCTTTCTCTCTCTTTCTCTCTTTTTAAGGATATGAATGAACCATCAAGTTTTGTAAATGGAACAACTACTAATCAATGCAGAAATAGAGAACTAAATTATCCACCTTATTTCCCAGGTTATTGCTATGCCTTTTATGCTATTATTATTTATTCATTAGGTTATATATAACATCTAAAGATACAGTGGATAGGATTAACATTGCCAAGTCTTATTACTAATCTATAAACATACCCTACACCAGTTACCAATATTATTTAACACTATTTTGAGAAGAAAAGTCAAGAACTTTGCTTTACCTATATAAATACATTTCTAAATTAGTTTGAAAACCCTAACTTTGGCTTTCTAAAAAATCTTCCCAGATTTAAAATTCAAAATACTCTTTAAGATTAAAAAAAAAAACTTTTTAAGTTTTGTTTTGTTTTTTAAACTGAAAGAATAATATCAATACTTATCTGCCAGTCCCTGACCTAGGAGCAAAAGGGCCATTCCTTCAGCACTCATCATCATTCTCCTGTGTAGACAGTAAACTTCATGAGCTGTATTAATATGTAAGGTGATGACAAAGTTCTTAAAAAGACATCTTAAACTAAGAAAATGGGCATCAAAAGATAGGGTACTTGTATTTACCTGACTCTTAACCCCAGGACTTTTAGTCACCAAATGAATTTTTTATTAGATATCTACTTAATCAGAAGATTCCATCTAAATGCATAACAAGGTGGGCATTTAGGAATATTTTCAGGTTTTTTATTAATTCATGTTTGTAACTAAATATAATAAAATTTTTCTAGTATTTTTCATTAGTCACAATGGCAGACTAGTTTTTTCATTTATAATTATCATAGAAAAAGTATACAAATGATAAAAAATTAAGAACTGTTTTAAAATAACTGTTATTGTCTTTGCAAAATATATATATATAGTTATGAAATACACATTTCAATACAAGGCACTTTATGATATATTAATATTTTTGTTACTTCTCCCAGAACTCACAAAAAGAACTGATGGATTACATTTCAGAACTATGTGTATGGAAACTGAGCAGATTCTTAGCGATGGATCATCTGTTTTGCATTATGATGTTCACAATCTATACGGATGGTCACAAGCAAAACCTACTTATGAGTATGTAATGTTCATAATTTTTATCTTCTGACTCCTTCTTGTCCTTCAAATCTTAGACTTAATGTTACCTCCTTTAAGAGTCTTTTCCTGCTAATGTTATAAGGTAGTCTTTTCCTTCCCAGTTGTTCTCTGTATCTTACTTACTCTTTCATAGCACTTAGAATAATTTTATTTATCTAAGTATTTATTTCCTTATCTATCTACCTATTTATATCTTCTATTTATATTTTGTTGTTGTCCTTCCTAATTTGTATCTCATTCCAAAAAGAATCCTGGCCCATGTTTATTTTGTTCCCCTCAGTTTACGCAGCACAGTGCATGGCAAACAGTAGGTTTTCAATTAATAGTGTTGAATGAATGAATGAGTATATACATGAGGAAATAACATATAATTTGATATCTTTAAGACATTTAAGCTTGGATAAATACATTATTTAAATCAATTATGAGCAAATTAGAGCATCTATGAAAGATCTTGAGCTTCTCAAAACTTTAAGCTTCATCGAAATCATCTACCTTTTAAACAAGCTTCAATATGAGGCTAAAACAGCAAAACAAAAAACAATATACCATGGAATACATACCTGCCAAGGAGCAAACAAATCTGTCTTGAAAGAAATACAGCTAGAATGCTCCTTAGAAGCAACGATGACGAGACTTCGTCTCACATGCTTTGGACATGTTATCAGGAGGGACCAGTCCCTGGAGAAGGACATCGTGCTTGGTAAAGTAGAGAGTCAGCAAAAAAGAGGAAGACCTTCAGGGAGATGGATTGAAATAGTTGCTGCAACAATGGGCTCAAGCATTATAACAATCATGAGGATGGCACAGGACTGGGCAGTGTTTTGCTCTGTTGTACATAGGGTCACTAAGAGTTGGAACAGACTCTACGTCACCTAACAACAGTAATAACAAGTGAGGCTGCTGCTGTTGCACAGATCATTCTTTGAGTCTCAAGGCTTTATCAGCACCATCTAATAAAAGTTTCTGAAATGATAAAAATGTTCCAAAATATTCTGGGCTGTCCAGTATGGTAATGTAGTTATTGACCAACTTGCTAGTATGACTCAGGAAAGAAATGTGCATTTTATTGAATTTAATTAATTATAATTTAAATTTAATTAGTCCCATGTAGCTACTTGCCATCATATTAGACAGTGTAACAGCTCTAGATCACTGACTCTTGACTGAAAACTATAATCACTTCAGGATTTTTAATAAGTGCTGATTTAATTGGTCTTGAATCTAGCATAAGCTTCTGGATTTTTTAAAATTCCACAGGAGATTCTAATGGGTAGCCAGAGTTGAAAACCACTGCTCTGTCGTATGACAGAAATTGGTAAAAGAATGAAAAGCATTTTGAAATAAAGAGTATGGATAAAACTTTTCACTTAGTGAAGCTTGTTTGTCTATTTCTAGCACCTAATTCTTACTCATTGTAGAATAAGCACTCGAAAAATGTTTGGTGAATTAATTAAGAAATTATTACATGAACATTTGACCACTGACTTGTTCCCTGAATCCCAATGTAGGGACACTAAAATCATGTAGGACTACTAGGACATTTTATTCTTTGCAGTGATCTAACTGGTATTCAAAACTCCTTTTATATTGGGATAAAAGTTACTTTCGATTAAATTCAGTGGAAAATAATATTGGAACAAAATTATTCTCAGCTAACCTCACTTTCCCCTCACATCTGTCAGTTTGTCTTACTGTGGTAGCTTGCATGTTACTGTGATACTGGAATCTATGCCACTGGTGTTCCAAATACCAGCTAGGTCATCCATGGTGGACATGTTTCAGCAGAGCTTCCTGATTAAGAAACACTAGGAACAAGAACCTGGCAGTCTACTTCTGAAAAAAATTGGCCAATGAAAGCCTTATGAATAGCAACTGAACATTTTCTTCCAGAAAATGAGTCCTTCAGGTTGGAAGTCATTCAAAATACAATGGAGGAAGGGCTGCCTCCTCAAATTAGAGTCAACCTTAATGACATGGATGGAGTAAAGCTTGCAAGACCTTCATTTACTGACGTGGCATGACTCAAAACAAGAAGAAACAGCTGCAAACATCCATTAGTAATCAGAAAGTGGAATGTACAAATTATGAATCTAGGAAAATTGGAAGTCATCAAAAATGAAATAGAGCACATAAAGATTGATATCTTAGGCATTAGTGAGCTGAAATAGCCATTTTGAATCACATAATTGTATGGTCTACTATGCATGGAATGACAAATTGAAGAGCAAAGACATTGCATTCATTATCAAAAAGAACATTTGAAGATCTATCTTGGAGTACAACACTGTCAGTGATAGGATAGTAACAATATGCCTACAAGCAAGACTAGTTAATAGGACTATTATTAAAATATATACACCAACTACTAAAGCCAAAGATGAGGAAATTGAAGATTTTCACCCACTTCTGCAGTTTGAAATTGATTAATCGTGCAATCAAGATGCATAGATAATTACTGGTGATCGGAATGCAAAAGTTGGAAATGAAGAAGGATTGGTAGTTGGAAAATATGGCATGGTGATAGAAACAATAACAGAGATCTCATGATAGAATTCACCAAGACCAAGGACTTCTTCATTGCAAATACCTTTCTTCAACACCATAAAAGATGACTACACGCATGGACCTCACCGGATAGAAAACACAGGCATCAAATCGACTATATCTGTTCACAGTGAAGATAGAAAAGCTCAATATCATCAGTCAGAACAAGGCCAGGGGCCGCCTGAGAAACAGACCATCAATTGTTCCTATGCAAGTTCAAGTTGAAGCTGAAGAAAGGTAAAATAAGTCCAAGAGAACCAAACTATGACCTTGAGTATATCTCACCTGAATTTGGAGACCATCTTAAGAATAGATTTGACACATTGAAAACTGATGATTGAAGACAAGACCAATTGTGGGATGACATCAAAGACATCATACAGGAAGAAACCAAAAGGTCATTAAACAGACAGGAAAGAAAGAGAAGATGAAAATGCGTGTCAGAAGAGACTCTGAAATTTGCTCTTGAGTGTCAAGTAGCTAAAGCAAATGGAAGAAATGATAAAGTAAAAGAGCTCAACCGATGATTACAAAGGGCAGCTCAAGAAGACAAAGTAAAGTATTATAATGAAATGTGCAAAGACATGGAGTTAGAAAACCAAAAGGCAAGAACATGTTAGACATTTCTCAAGCTGAAAGAACTGAAGAAAAAAAATTCAAGCCTGCAGTAGCAATTTTGAAGGATTCTATGGGCAAAATATTGAAACATGCAGGAAGCAATGAAAGAAGGTGGAAGGAATACAGAGTCACTCTACCAAAAATAAATCATTAACGTTCAACCGTTGCAAGAGGTAGCATATGATGAAGAACTGACAGTACTAAAGGACGAAGTACAAGATGCACTGAAGGCATTGGCAAAAAACAAGGCTCCAGGAATTGATGGAATACCAATTGATTGAGATATTTCAGCAAATGGATGCTGCCCTGGAGATGCTCACTTATCTATGCCAAAAAATTTGGAAGACAGCTACCAACCAAATGGAAGAGATCCATATTTGTGCCCATTCCAAAGAAAGGTGATACAATAGAATGCAAAAATTATCAAACAATATCATTAGTATCACACACAAGTAAAATTTTGCTGAAGATAATTCAAAAACAGTTGCAGCAGTACAATGACAGGGAACTTCAAGAAATTCAAGCTAGATTTCGAAGAGGACGTATCATTACTGATGTCAGATGGATCTTGACTGAAAGCAGAGAATACCAGAAGAAAGTTTACCTGTGTTTTATTGACTATACAAAGACATTTGACTGTGTTGCTAATAACAAATTATGGATAACATTGCAAAGAATGGAAATTCCAGAACACTTAATTATGCCCATGAAGAACCTGTACATAGACCAAGAGGCAGTCGTTGAAACAAAACAAGGGGACACTGCATGGTTTAAAGTCAGGAAAGGTGTGCATCAGGATCGTATCCTTTCACCATACTTACTCAATCTGTATGCCAAGAAACTGTACTATGTGAAGAAAAATGGGCATCAAGACTGGAGGAAGACTATTTAACAGCCTGCTGTATACAGATGACACAACCTTGCTTGCTGAAAATGAAGAGGACTTGAAGCACTTACTGATGAAGATCAAAGGCCACAGTCTTCAGAATGGATTACACCTTGGCATAAAGAAAACAAAAATCCTCACAAGTGGACCAATAAGCAACATCCTGATAAATGGAGAAAATATTGAAGTTGTCAAGGATTTCATTTTTACTTGGATCCACAATCAAACACCCATGGAAGCAACAGTCAAGAAATCAAATGACATTTTGCATTGGGCAATCTGCTACAAAAGACCTCTTTGACGTGTTAAAAAGCAAAGATATCACCTTGAGACCTAAGATGCACCTGACCCAAGCCATGGTATTTTCAGTCACTACCTATGCATTTGAAAAGTGGACAATGAATAAAGAAGATCAGAGAAGAATTGATGCCTTTGAATTATGATTTTGGTGAAGAATATTGAATATACCATGGACTGCTAGAATAATAAATAATTCTGTCTTGGAAGAAATACAGCCAGAGTGCCACTTGGAAGCAAAGGTTGCCAGACTTCCTCTCATGTACTTTGGATATATTATGAGGAGGGACCAGTTCCTGGAGAAAGACAATATGCTTCGTATGGTGGAGGGTCAGCAAAAAATAGGAAGACCTTCAATGAAATGGATTGATATAGTGGCTGCAACAATGGGCTCAAACATAGCAATGGTTGTGAGGATGGCACAGGACTAGGCAGTGTTTTATACAGTTGCACCAAGGGTTGCTATGGTTGGGAACCGATTTGACGGCACCCAACAACAACATTTTAACATAAATCTATAGATATTAAAAGAACAAAAATATGAAGAATTTACTGATGACCCCACTGGCAAAATTATGCATGTTTTAAGATGAAAGAATATAGTTTAAGGGAAACTGAAAGAAAAGATTCT